ATAACTGGGTCCTCCTCTGATTGAGAAGTTTTTGAACATCAAAAGAAATTACCAACAAAGTAAAAAGATAACCCACAAATTTTGAAAAATTATTGACTAATAAATTCTCAGACAAAGTTCTGCTCTCTAAAACTTATAAAGAACTAAAAACTATTAGGGCCCCAAAATTTAAAGATCCAATCCAGAAATGGGCATCCAAGATGAACATACACTTCTCACAGGACGAAATTAAAGAAGTGAATAAATATATGAAAAAAATGCTCCATATCACTAGCCATCTGGGAAATGCAAATTAAAACAGCACTGATATACCATCTCACCTCTGAAAGAATGGCTATCATAAAGAAATCAACCAACAACAAATGTTGGAGAGGCTGTGGGGAAAAGGGAACCCTTCTCCACTGCTGGTGGGAATGTAGACTGATGACCCCATTAAGGAAAACAGTGTGGAGACTCCTTAAAAATCTAGGACTGGAAATCCCATTCAAGCCAGCTATCCCCTTACTGAGAATTTTCCCAGAGGAGCTGAAAACATCATTTCATCATGATATGTGTGTACCTATGTTTATAGCAACACAATTTGTGATAGCCAGATCTTGGAAACAACCAAGATGCCCATCACCTGAAGAATGGATGAAAAAGATGTATTTTTATACAATGGAGTATTACTCAGCTACAAAGAATGATAAACTTGAAGCCTTTATATTCACATGTATGTCACTTGAAGATATACTCATAAGTGAAATAAACCGGACCCACATGTGTTAGTATCATATAGTCTCCATAGCATGAGAACTCAAAAGAAGAAATAAAATTAGAAAGATATAACACAATTAAAAGGAAAGTGAGATCTTGAGGACTGGACAAGGAGCGGGCAAGGAGAAAAGCTGGGAATAATGACAGGGGCAAAGCCATACATTTACATGCACAAGATGGGTAAGGTAATGATCCTGAGAAACATCAGCAGGTTTTCGAAACAAGCAATTAATTGGTAGAATTCTCACCCTGACTAACTATATATGCTGATACCTGTGAACTATGCAACTGCACTGAAGAAAGCAATATGTAATAGAAGGGTCACACTTAGAATGCCTGTTATTATGGTCTTCTAAATATGCATTGCTTGTCATGACATAACAATTATTGCCATAGTGTTTCTCAAGTAAGTGTTTGTTTAAAAAAAAAGGGTAATATATGAAAAAAGACACAAGAAAAAAAGTCACAGGACTGTCCTGCTACAATGCTGTATATGGTTAGATTTCTAACTTTTTGTGTAAAAATATGTAATTGTTTATTCGTATTTTTGAAATATTTATTTTTAAAATTTTTTTCCAATTCTGTAGAGACTTAAAGTTTAACATATCAATCCTAGGTGGAAAATACATGTTCCATGTTATGCCTAAAATGTTTGATATTCAGACAGATAGTGAGGTTAAACCAAACTGCATATGTTGTAGGGTAATAATGAGCTTCTTTTCTGGAGGGCTAACAACCTAAATTTGCAGACCAAAAATAAGAGAAAAAGAACAGCTGCAAGGATAGCCAACATTTTGGCCCTAGCCTTTCAAGTTCAGTGAAGACTCAGGACATAGAAGAACCTATCCTGTAACATCCTGTAACTCCGTTGTGTCCCAAATTTTCGGATCAAGATTATGGGGCCACAGAGCAATGTGATCAATGATGTAGAGTGTGCCTAAGGAGGGTCACATGGAGAGAAAACATTCTCTCAGACTTTCACAGAGAGGAAATTTGTCAAGCAAGGGCCGTGACTCATCCACATGGCTGACACTGACAAAGATCTGCATACTGCGGTATAGGATAACAGAAAAAATCCTGAGGGTACTTGGCTGACCTTATCAGATACAAAAGATACATTTCTTGTTATATATATCTTGCTTTGTCTTGGTCTTAACTATCCAGCAGAAACATATAAAAATGAGGTATAAAAATTAAAGCTATATTAATATGCTGAGCTGTGAAAGGCTCAAGTCAACAACTTCTGACATTGCCAGTCCTATGGATAACCCACTACTATTGTTGAACTACTGGATTATATTGGATTATTTTGCTGAATTCACGCACCTACAATATCTAAATGAAAATGGAATACCCATCTCTGACAAAACTAAACAAAAAAAGAGGATACAAAGGAAGGGCTGTTTTGCATCTGTATATACAAAATAGGATAGATATACAGCTACTTTCTCTTAATTCAATAAGAAAGATTTGTACTAGTAGTATTTGGACAGGATATCATGTCTGCATCTTGTACTATGAATAACCACTAAGAAGAAAATAATATGCAATGTATTTATTATTGAAACTGTTTTATTAATTGGTTTTGAAACTGTCTCATTGGTATTTTTTTTCAATAAAATTAATAAAAAAGAAGGTATAGTACAACTCATTTTCACCCCACAAATGGGCCATAAGTAATCATGGCCAAACAAACTTTTGTATCTACTTGAGTTAGTACTTAATCCTTTCTTAAAATGATTATGAAAGAAAAATTATACAGTTGGGAAAATCCTTACTTTTTATAACCCCTTTTCTTTCCTGGTATGTGGGTGTAAGCCAGTGTTCTGATTCTTAGAATGCTCCAAAAAAGATGAATTAAAGCAAAGCAAAGGAAATTCAAATAAGTTAATGGAGCTGCTTGGCAAATGTGAACATAAATTATGTGATTAGGAAAAGGTTGAAGTGAAGCACATTCACGGCAAATGCTTTCTTCAATATACTATTTCTATCTCCCATTTCCATAGAAGAAAGCAAACTAAAATAGTATAAAAAATAGATAATATTCCTCAACCTATGCACATTATGTGCCAGCGCCTGTTCTAACTGCTTTGCATATATTAACTCATTCAATTTTTACAACCCTGAATGCAGGAATCATGGAAGAGCTAAATTTTCAGGAATTTGGTGAGCTTGTTGGTAGATTGAAATCAGTAATTATAGCAGTGCATATAGCATGGAAATCAATATCTGCTCCAAGGCTGGGGTCTGGCAGAAGGGTGGAGGAAGCCGGTTTTTTTCAACATGTTCTAGGTATCAATGTTAACATCCCTCTTCCACAGAAAAGCAAACTAGGGCCTAGGCATGTATCTTGACCATGATGGAGCAAGGAGTTTTAGAGTTAAAGTTTGACCCTACTTCAACTTTGACCCTATTGGGAGCCCACGCTTTAGTCATGCCCTGCCACTCAGGACAGAGCTGGGCCAGGCTGCATGAACAAAGCTCAGCATACAAATGTGGATTCTACTACTGTTTACACTGAGTGTCAAAGACACTTCATGATAGATATGTTACAATCTAAGAGTGGTTTACATTTAACGCTACTGTAACATGAATGAAATACACTACTGTATATATAAATGCCAAGTAGGTCTTATTTTTCCTTCATTTCCACTTTCCCTTTCCTTCCTCACATCTTTCCTCCCTTTCTTTGTCCTTCTTTATTTTTTCCTTCCCTTTCTTCGTTTCTTCCTAGCATTGATTATGTCTGTTCAATTGGGCTAGAATGCATGTAAATCTGTTAGGAAATTTAGCCAAATTTGAGAAAGATTGTAGTGAATTTTCTCTGTAATATTCCCTTACTGCCACCCTCATTATCACAGGATGTCTGTATATATTAATTGGCTCTAAATTTTAGGTTAATTTTATACTAAATAGCTTCCTACACTTTGGGGGCGTACTTATATATATTAATTCTAATTTGTGTACTACCAGTGTTGTTGTTAGAATGACTTACAAAGAATTTTTCTATTATAAAGTCATAACCTGGTGTGTGATAGTATGTCTGTGCAGAAATAAATAGAAAAATTAATAAATATTAAAAAAAGAAAGTAACCAGATAGGTTTTGCCATGTATATTAGGTCACTGATATCAAATGAGGTCATTTTGTCCCTTAAGGTACATTTGACAGTATCTGGAGACAATTTTGGTTACCACAACAGGGGGAAGATATACCTAATACTGCTATCTAGTGAGTAGTGGGCACAGATTCGTCTAACACCATACAATGTTTAGGACATTCTTTTTCATAACAAGGAATTATCTTACCCAAATTGTCAGATCTATCAGAATCAAGGCATGTTGGTTAAAAAACAAACTGAGAATTATCAGAATAGTAAACATTGTTTCTAGTTTAATCCAATAGCTTCTCATGGAGTAATGAATATACACTTTAAAAATGAACACTTGTCAGCCAGGCATGGTGACACATCCTTGTAATCCCAGCAGTATCAGGAGACGGAGGCAGGAAGATAGCTCGCCTGGGGAGCATGGTGAGTTCAAGGCTAGCCTGAACTACACAGCAAGATCCTCTCTCAAAAACAAAAAGAAAAAAACCCCCAAAACCATATATTCACTAAATAAAACATGTTGCATCCCAACATGAGAAGACTGTTCTAGAAGCTTAAGATTTATCAGTGAACAAAATAGGTTAAGATTCTTGACCTGTAGTAATTTTATCCAAGTAAAATAGGATAGAAAATAAATACCATAAATAATAAACTAGTTTGTTAAAATTGTTGTGCTAATTTAAAAAAGTGGAGCAGATTAAGATTATTGGGAGTAGTTTGTACTAATATTGTTTAGACAAGATGTCATGTCTGTGTCTTGTCCTCTGAATAACTAAGACAAAGACAATATTCAATGTATGAATTATTGTAACTGTCCTATTAACCTATTTTGAAACTGTTTCATTGCTATTTTTTTCTCATTAAAATTAATAAAAATAAATTTAAAAAACGAATATTAGGAGTGTTAAGGATGGCAGAACAAAAGGTGAGTTGCAGTTTTAAATATGAATCCAGGTACGGTGGTACCTACTCATAATCGTAGCCCTTGGTAAGTTAGGCAGGATTGCCACAAATTTGAGGCCAGCCTGGTTAAACATTTGCAAATAATTTTATGATACTTCCATTAATCTTCCTTGCTGTTAATCACCAATCTTCAGTAACTGAATCAAGCCTGTCATTAATTCTCTGTCTCTCAGGTATGGCAACAGCACTAGGAACTATGTTATCCGAGTTGGGGATTATCATACTTTGGTGCCAGAGGAGTTTGAAGAAGAGATTGGAATTCAACAAATTGTGATTCACCGGGAGTATCGACCAGTCAGTAATGACTATGACATTGCCCTGGTTAGATTACAAGGACCAGAGGAGCGATGTGCCAGATTTAGCAGCCATGTTCTGCCAGCCTGTTTACCACAGCACAGGGAAAGGCCACAGAAGACCGCCTCCAATTGTTATGTAACAGGATGGGGAGACACAGGTACTGCAGCATACATGAGTTAGAAAAGCTGGACATGTTCTTGGGTTTGCTGTTACACATTTGAATGGATAATGGGCACAAAGATCTTTGAATGTGCTCAGGCTTGTTGGGAAATTACTCCACGTATGAAATGCACATATAATCTAGGTTCATATCCTGAGGATACTATTAATTCCAACTCAGGTTTTAGCACAAATACAACTCAATTATCAGTGGAATTTAGGAGTACCGAATATTCTTTTAGTTCTTCAGACCCAGATTATACTCCAAGATGAGGACCAGGCAGTCTGTTTTTAAAAGGCTTTTCCACATGCCTTTGATATAGTAGGCCCAAAAAAGGCTTGATGTGTAGTTTGTTTCTTTGACATAGAGTCCTTATCAAGCTCAATTTTATGCAGTTCTTCAATATACAGTAGACAAGAGGTACTGAGGTGGAAGCTAAGGCTGAAAAGAAACCCAGTCAAGTTTTTGCATTGTTCTTCCCATTCTTACCATGTGTAATTTCTAAGCCTGAGTAATGTTTAGCTTATGTTCTTTTTGGGCAAATATAGTTCTTTGAATTGCCTTATAGAATTAAATCAGTATGTCTAAACTAATCCTTGTGCAGGATGAATCTTGCAACAGGTTGGCTGCTTCCCACTAAAAAGAATTACAGCTATACTTTTGAAGTGTTAAATTATTCCTACAGGTGATGAAAATAAAGCTTTTATGTAGGTTTATTTTATCCCATTTTACATTCAAGTTGGTTTCACAGAACATTTATAGCAGCTATGAAACACTAAGAAAACATTAGGAGTATCCTGAAATTAGATTGGGGGGGAGGAAGGCATTTCCTCAAGTTATTTAGTAAAAGGTATGTCAAGTCTTTGAGAAGGTAAAGTATACTAGAATTAGGATGAATTATGCTAACTTCCTTTGGACACATTTATTTCAATGAATAGAAATAACCTAAGAAGTAATTTTTGTGTGTGTGTTTATGTGGTCTACTTTCTCCAGTTTAATAGAGTATACGATGGAATTTGTACCCCCAAGATTATGGACATATTAACGGCACATTTTAGCCACTGAATTAAGTTATGGATTCAGGAAGGAGATGAAAGTACCTTAACATCAGATGAACCTTGAGAAGTCTGTTTATGTGGGAAAATACTGCAACATTTCTAAACCATTCCTTATACAGTAGTTTCCACTTAAGACAACTTTGTCACCTTATGCATTTACATATATTTATCATTCATTAATCTTCAAATTTTAAAGTTCATGTTTTTAAATGGATATCCTAATGCATAACCAGCATAAATATATTTTTTAGCTTTTTCAAATGTAGCTTTTGGTTGGTGAGGGAGATAGCTCAGCGGCCTAAGTGCCTGCCTGGCAGGTTCAAGGTCCAGAGTTCGATCCCTAGTACAAAAAAAAAGACTTCTGAATTATTGAGAATTCTAATTATATGAATATATTTGATTTTGACACAGTGAACTGTAAATTTACTATTATATGACCTGTAAATTCTTCACTTTTATTTTGGACAATTTTTGTTATATTCATTTAAGTTTGTGAATAATTTATTTAAATGTGCAATTTAAAAAAATGGTAAAAAATTGAAAAGCATTAACATTATATAATGTCCAAAAAAGTTAAATGTATTTTTTAAAAAATTAGAAAAAAAAAAAAAAACCCAAAAAACAAATGTTGCTTTTGGGGGACGATACAAGATTGGATTTAGAGCATTGTGCCTATGAGGCAAGCATTCTGCCACTGAGCTATCTCAACTTATTTTTAAGTTTTTAATATACACAATTAAAAATGTATGAAGTGGGGCTGGGGAGATGGTTTAGTGGAATAAGCGCTTCCCTGGCAAGCACAAGGGCCTGAGTTCGATCCCTGGTTCTGCAAAAAAAAAAAAAAAAAAAAAAAAAAAAAAAGAAAAATAAAAGAAGAAAAAAAAATCTATGAAGCTTGCACAAAATCACCTTCTTCAGGTTACCTTATCTCTAGCAAAGTCCCATGTCATGTATTATTCCAAATTTAGTACTCAAATCTGAAAAGGATGTGCCAAGAATTAAAAATACGCTGCACTATTTATCTATTTTGTACCATATCCATTATCTATTTTGAACCATATAATAGGCATTTTGTTTCTAAGACTATTAAATGTTTAACTGTTAAATGTTATCTGGGAACTCACTAATCCTTATTTGTTCCGAGTAGGACGGGCATATTCAAAAACACTGCAACAAGCAGCCATTCCCTTACTTCCAAAGAGATTTTGTGAAGAACGCTATAAAGGAAGGTTTACTGGGAGAATGCTCTGTGCTGGAAACCTCCAGGAACACAGACGTATGGACAGCTGCCAGGGAGACAGCGGAGGACCACTCATGTGTGAACGTCCTGGAGAGACCTGGGTTGTGTATGGGGTAACTTCCTGGGGTTATGGCTGTGGAGCCAAAGATTCTCCTGGGGTTTATACTAAAGTCTCAGCCTTTGTACCTTGGATAAAAAGTATCACCAAACTGTAATTCACAGAAACCTCAACAGTAAATATTTGAAGAAACTCATGGAACCACTAAACTCTACTCTTAGCACTACACAAGAACCAAGATATTTTTGACAAAAATTGTATACCTCTTGCTGCTTTCGTGATGTGAACATTTGTGGCTAGATACCTCAGTGATACCTTTTACTATCTGATTCAAAGTACTGGGGAAATTTTCTCTGCCTATTTCTCAGCATTGCCCATTCTTTGATTTTGTAATAAGGCTGATTTCAAACAGCTGAATTAATGTGGGGTGTGGATTTGTATCAAGAACTCATTTGATATAAAAGGTACCTTTATGCCTCTAAATGTGGCATTGTATTTACCATTTGTTCATTTTCTGGTGAAGAGGTTATCTCGACCTAATTCTGGCTTTTGTCAAGTAAAGAAATCAATGGCCCACAAGGAATTCCAACAACTTCTAAGGTGGAATAGGATCATGAGGCAACAAGGACACTAGCCTGTTTACAATATAGTCCCAAGGAAAACACTAGGTATTTCCATGTATCATTGCAAAGTAGACACTGAAGAAACTAAGAAAAATGTCTAGTAAGAATTTGGATTTAGGCAGCTGGGGAGATGGCTCAGGGGAATAAGCGCTTCCCTGGCAAGTGCAAGGGTCTGAGTTTAATCCCCGGTTCTGCCAAAAAATAAATTTGGACTTAAAACTTGTAGTTGAATATGCAATAAACTAGGCATATCAACTAGGCATAATAACATTTAACAATTTGAGATCTAGTTTAATAGAATAAAAAAATTACCGCATTAGTATTAAGCATTTTTCTGGATAATGGGAAGAGTGCCATCTACTGGAACTTCCTAGCAATTGACCTATCTGGGTTTTGCAAGATAGTTAAGATTCAATCCATTAAAATCAAAGGGCTGGGGTAATTAAAAAGGCTTAGGAGTCTATTTTCAGCATTACCAAAGCAGTTAAAAATGCTTTCCTTTATGTACTGGTAAATTATCAAACTTAACATGTGATAGGTGTATTTGGTGGCTGCAACTGTTAACTTACTAAAAGGTCATGAAAACGGAATTTTAATTTAGTCTGTTCTCAAAATGGCATGGTCATCTGGTAGTGAAAGGTTTAAAGGAACATTCTCCAAAAGTATGGGGGGAAGATACCAAGGATACTGGATACACATCCCCCAAATCAATGATCATCTGAAGGCCTAAGATGCTTTACAGGGCATCCTTGGTAGCAAACACAATCACTGAAGACACACACCATTAAGATACCTAATTCTCCTAGATAAGGAAATTATTAGATAGGATATAATAAACTTTAGTTGTAAATAACCCTCTTAAATGATGCACATCCCTTTTGTAAAGCTTGTTTTGCTAAAACTGGTGCAAATCTGTAGGTGCTTTAAATATGGCCTTATTACTTTTCCAGATGCAGAATTTGTTAGGTAGGAGCACCAAAATTTTTCTAAAATCCCATTATCTTAACTAAAACTACTAAAGCAACATTCACATTTTGATATACTGCTGCTCTAGGGCCTGGGAGGAAACAAGTATAATATAGGTTAAAACTTCCTTCACAGCTACCCTTGTTATTGAACTATTGCTGACAGAAACATTCATATTAAGCTTTAAATATACCACGGATTGGTAAATCTAAAAGGCAACAACAACATGCGGTTAATTATTAAGTAGAACACATTTATAATATGTAGCAAATTTTATCTTAAAAGTGATGTTTCTTGGAAGATGCTCAAGTATTCAGTACATACTTATGTAAATAAAGCACATGAATTGTTATCTTGCAGTTGCTTTAATTTTGGGTAATTTTTATTTGTAAGCTAGTTAATTCATGTCACTTTTACACAATCTTGCAACAGTAGAAAAGTATGTATTTACCTACTGAAGAATAGTGCACATCCATCCACATAAATCAAGCATTTTATTCAATTGTATCAAGAAAGTGTCTTTAATGCTTAACAATTGAGATATATTCAAAATACTGCTTTGGTAGTTTCTAAATTATTCAAAACGCCCACTTTCACCCCAAGTTTGGTGACCCACTGCAACATGCTGCGTAAGGCTTCACCCTGTTAGCACTGATTTTCTTGATTACCTGTAAAAAAAAGAAAACCAGCATTAGCAAAGTCAGATTTTTGTCTTTACCTAAACACTGAGATCTGAAGCAAATATAACTGGCTCTTAGAATCAATCTAACAAGCAAACGCTTCCAACAACTGCGATAAGGATTTCGGAGGATTCGATCCTCAATTTATTAAAAAGGAAACGTACCTTGCCCCGCTTCCATGAGCCATCAGCCCGGAGTTCCGCTTCCTAGAAACATTTGAACACTCATTAGAACAGTTTGCTTGATAATCTGGCCTCCTCCAAGTTTTAAACAGCGAAGAATGTTACTTGTGCCAGTCAGAATCTGATACCAATTAAATGGTGACAGCTTTGCCAATAAACAAGAATATGCTCTTCCATGGCTAGGAAGGGAGACTGCCACAACCGACAGGTCCCAAAGACACATGGAGATCCAGTGCACAGCGCAGCCAGCAAGCCCGCCTCGCGGCCACACTACTCACCGCGTGCGCCCGGAGGCGGCGGCGCTCGAGGGGCTCCGGCGCACACGCAGAGGGCTCAAGATGGCCCGCGCCCGCGCTCTGCTCCCCGGCGCTTCCGGCTCGGACCTCGGCTCGTCAGGGTTCCGGGCCGCACGTGGCCGTCGCGCGACCCAAGGAACTCCACCGTCCGTTCTAGCCCTTCAAACTACAGACTTTTAAAGCTGACTGCCTCCCGCCACCAAGGTAAGAATCTTGAGCCGCCTGCATCTTAATCACGCCGTAAAGTTCTGGCGAAGTTCCCATTTTCGCGGTCAAAACACGACTTCCCGGCGTACCTAACTCGGCCGCTTTCCAGACGCAAAAGGCCGAGCCCTCCCCCGCGCACTCACTTATAGGGCCGATGACGCCCTTCCGGGGGAAGCGCCGCGAGGGGCGGGACCTTTCCTCTGCTCGCCCCGCCCCCTCCTCCCATCCCCACCAGACTCTTCCATCTTCAGTCTCCCACTTCCTGCTGAGGCTCCGCCCCTCTCCGGGCGTTTCGCCTCAGTTCTCGCTTCAGCTAGAATGAAGCGGGTTACCCGGATGCGCGAGACGCATGCGCACACAGGAGAACAAAAAACAAGACTGAGGACCTGTAGCTCTGGAACACCGACAGAATTTACTGTGTTAGATGTTTCAGTTTAGGGTCGTTACTTTGGAAGTCACTGTTGCTACGCGGATGCTAATGTCGGCTTTTAAGCTTATGGTAGGTTAATTTATGTAAAGTTGGCTTTGCTTGAGTTCTCTTGCCAGTGAACTCTTCATGCTATTCGTGCCCTTCATCATCCTCAGAAGTTTTTTGCTGTTCCTGAAACGCCACGTTCCTGTGGCTTCTCAGGTTTGGTCCCCCTCCCTTCCTCCCCAGTCCTGAAGGGAATTGGTACGCCGGCATTGTCACGCTCAGCAGATCTCCACGACGCAAGAGAAGAAAGAGGGCTCGCATGTAATCCCCGCAGTCGGGGAGGCCGCTGTGGAAGACTGACAAATTCGTCCTCAGCCTGGGCGGCTTCGCAGTGTGCGGAGGAGCCGTGCGTATGGGCGTCTCTTGTCTGGCTCTTGAGCTCTACTATCCGGGAGCCGTACGCTTCATTGAGGGTGCAATTAAAGAAAAGATAGGGCTCCCGTCAGTGTAAAATGGAATGCCCAACGTTCAAAAAGAGTTTTAGGTGTTTACGGTGCATGTCCGCCGTCCCAGCACCCGGTAGGCTGAGGCTGAGGGTCACAAATGAGACCTACTGGGATAGTGTGGCCTTTTAGCAAGACTGCGCGTCAGTAAAAAGACTTGAAATGTAGCTCAGGGGCAAAGGTCAGCGTTCTATTTCAGGTACTCCCGCGAGAAAGTTTTACTCTTAAGACAGGTGCTTGTTTAGTCAAAATAAAACTTGTCTCTTCTTGGATATGAAACTAGGACAGAGGTAAGCTTTTAGAGAGCTTTTGGACCATTTGGGGTTGCACATTTGTAGCAAATGCTGTCAAGGGAAATGGTGTCAAGATCTTACAGAGCAGCTGAGATCGACGAAAACTTTGTGAGCTCTGTACGTACTTTAGGAAAAACATTTAATGGGATTAAAAATTGAACTTATGATAAGGGTCAGAGTAAACAAAGTTATAGGAGATACATTTTAATTTGAAGGGACTAGAGCTGTTTCTAAGGCGTACCATATTTTACCCTATCTTACTTTCACCTCATCTTTATTCCTCTAAATAATGAACCTAAACAACTATTCAATAAGAAGGCTTAAATACTGAATCACAGTAGGGAGTTTTGTTGAACAACCATCAATATTATGTTAGTTTCTTAGGTTTTTTGTAAAAAAAAAAAAAGAAAAAAAAAATACCATGTTTCAACGACAGAAATCCACTTGGTTACAGTCCTGGAGGCTGAAAGTCTGAGATCAAGGTGTCAACTGTTATTTCTTCAATGTTATTTCTTGAAGCTGTCTCCTTGGCATGTAGATGCATGATAGTCCTTTTTCTGTTTAACATGGTTTTCCTTAGGCAGTTGTCTGCATCAATCCTTTTTTTTTTTCTTTGCTTGTTATTTGCAGAGCTGGTGATCAAACCCAGGGCTTCATGTGCAAACCTTCCACCCCTGAACTAGTTCCCCATTCTTAAAAGGATTCTAGTCATAATTAATGATAGTCCACTCTAATAACCTCTTGTAACCTTAGTTAGCTCTTTAATGATCCTGTCTCCAAATATAGTCATATTCAGAGGCAGTGGAGTTCATGTCTTCAGCACATGTGCAACCCAGGCATTCATACATGCTACCCAAGGGGTCATCAATGAGCTGCACCCCCAGACCTGTCTACAAATTTGTGTAGTTTTTGAGAAGGGATCTTGTCATGTAGCCCAGTCTGGTCTTGAATTTATAATCCACCTGCCTCAATTTTCAGGGTAGGCTTATTAGTATGCCTCAGAATGCCTGATACGCAGATTTTTTTTGTATTTGGTACAGGATTTTACTATGCAGCTTGTAGTGATCCTGTTTTCAGTCTCCCCAGCGCTGGAGTTACAGGAGTGTGCCACCATGCCTGTGCTTGGGGACCTGGAAACCCTTGTTCCTACATTTGCCAGAGCAGATGTTTTATTCTGCTGAACTGTCTTGCTGGCCCTTTGTGGAAGATTTTAAGTGAATATTTCAATTGGGTTAAGGGGCTAGAATGTGTAGTTACATATGTCCTGGCTTTTGATTGAACTTTTATGTTTTTTCTGAACCTAAACTTTCAAAAATATGCCATTTACTACCCTATATTTTGTTGAGATTTATTATTCCATCTTATATGCCTTCCTATTTATTTTTATGTGTCTGGTTTCTATTCAGCTTTTAGTGCTTTTTTCATTTGAATATTACATGTCCTTTGCTTGTGGAAATTTTTATTACTCTGATTTTTTTTTTTTTTTCTTTTTTGACATAGTACTTTTCTTGTGGTATTGTAAACCCTGTGTTGGAGGGTAAATTCATTCATTTGTTCATTTGTTGGTACTGGGAATTGAATCCAGGGCATTTGCAGTATGCTACATCTTCAACCTTTTCCTTTTCCTTCTTTTCTCTCTCTGTCTCTTTTTCTACCTTTCTTCCTCTGTTTCTTTTTCTCTTTCTCTTTTTTTCTTTTTCTTTTTCTTTTGTTAGAGATAGGAGCGCACTAAGCTGTTAAGTTGCCCCGGCTGGAGTAGAACCTGCCTGATCTTCCAAGAGTACCGATGCATGGTGTGGTACCATGCCTAACTTGTATCTATTTATTTGAAGTAGCTACATGAATGAGTTAAGTGAGCACTCAGTTACATTACTGAATGCTTTGAGGTACTCAATAAATACTTTTGAAATTGAAAAAGTTGTATTTTTTTTTAAAGTCATTTTTATGCTGAAGGTAGAATTTTATTTCCCCTGATTAAAACACCAACTTCATTGTGACCTGTGTGTAGTAACTTGCTTTTTAAAAAAAATAGAGTAAGAAAAAGAAGGAAAAGTATAACTTTACAGTAAAGTGATAAGCTCTACTTAGTCCAGGTAATCAGTGATGTTATGATAGTGTTTTCTGTGACATAATTAATGAAAAGAACACTTTACCTCTTTCTGTGTTACTCGTTCTTAAATCTCATATTCGATAACCAGGGGAAAAAAAATCAGTCAAAAGTAAATTGACATTTTACAATTTGCCTAGTCTGTATTTAACACTGTTATAGTTACAAAAAACAAGAAAAGTAGGAAAGTGTCATACCAAAGGTGACTAAAGGTAATGTGATATCCTGGTTGAGATCCTCAAGAAGAAAAATGAAGTTAATGAACAAAATATGAATAGTGTTGAATTTAGTTAAAAGCAATGTGGTAAAGTTCATTTTATAGTTGTAACAGATATATTATAATATTACAAAGTACTTAAAAAGGAGTAATTGGATGAAGTATGTATAGAAGAGCTTCCTGAATCTTTTTTTTTTTTTTTTTGCGCAACTGTCTTAGTTACTCCTCTTTTATTGCTGGGACAAATACCCCACACTCACAGGAAGGAAAGGTTTATTTAGCTCAGTTACTGGGGGTTTCAAGACACTTGGCCCCACTCTGCAGGGTCTGGAGGAGAGGCTGGGGTGCTGCTGTGTCCATGATGACACTCTCCATATCTCCTGAGGGAGTCCTCTGGCTTGGGGGATAGCATGGGCTGTCTGTCAGTTTAACAGTTTGTGCCTCTCTGGCCCCGCTCCTCAAGCCACTCGCTATCCTCAAGCTGCATTAGTCCCATTACTTATATGAGGCTTTGGGGGGACAACTAGACACAAACCATAACAGCAACCTTGTAAATCTAAAACATGAGTTTACAAGAACAATTGTAACTTTATAGTCTGTTGCATTCATATTTTAAGATAAGTCATACTTTAGTAATGGTTCCTATCCACTGTTATGAAATTTGTGCTTGTGATGACAGTATTTCTACGTTTGGAGAGATTTGAGATATAATCCAGTGAATTTAGTAATACCTAAGGCAATGTTTTGAGTCTTAGAATACTCGAGAGACAATGTGATAATAAAAGAATTAAAAATCAATTGAAAATAAAGATTAGTTTAAACATTTTAAAGGTCAAATGAAAGGTGAAGCTTTTAGAACTAATAAAACTTACTAGGCAGTATTTCAGTTATTCATTACTTCAACTCTTCATTGCTTGGATTGAACAGTTCATGGTAGAGTATTGTGTTGTTTGTTTGTTGTAAGACAGGGTCTCTCACTATGTAACCCAGACTTGTCTTGAACTTTTTATCTTTCTTTAGTCTTTCAAGTACTAGGACTACAGGCATATACCACCATGCTCAGCTTTAAAATTCACTTTTTGACTCACATATTTCCCTTTTCTGATTTTAGTACAGAAGTTGGTAATCATTAGAAAAACAAACATACAATTATATATCTCCCATGGAAGCTAAAATGAATGAGAAGAAATGAAGTGAGGAAATAGCATGTAAACTTATTTTCATCAGAAAATACACATAGGGAAATTGTTAAATAGAAAAACTGAAAGATTGAGGCCAGTGGTTATACAAGAAATTGAGTCCCAAACTAAACTGTGTGGATAACATTAGTGTAAAGCATAGCAGCTTAAAACTGTAAGCGTTTACCATGTCATGTAATTTTTGTTGGTTAGTCTGGAATCTAGTCGCGTTACCTGCCTTAGTGATTCTTTGAGGTTGGGTGAAAATGTGATTAACTTGGACATCTGAATCCTTGACTGACTGAGGCTGTAGGTATTCTTTTCCAATGCAACTCACTCACAGACCTGGTAAGTTAAAGCTAGTTGTTAGCAAGAGACCTCCGAACACTTAGATTTCTTCATAGGTCTGCTT